ATTGTTGCAATACCACCGCCACGACCAATCTGATAGGGCTCATGAGAAGAGAAATGATGGGGCTCACGAGAAGTGAGAACTGTCCATCTTGACTGCGCTTATTTCACTGCTTTCCTGACTGCAGCCGTACTCTCGTCTGCTTTCAACTCAAGGCGTTTGATACCTCACTATGAGTAGTGACAGCTATGCTTTTTGTTTGTATGCAGTATGTTTATCCAGTCATGACACTGTATTTAATTGTATCTCTTGAAAATCTGTGTTTTACATTTTAATTATTTACTACATCCTAATACTTAGTAAAGGAATAATTCACCTAAAAATGAAAACTTTTATTTCATATAGCATCTATGTTCTAAGTCTTGGTAAAGAAAACAGCTATGTGCAAAGCAGGGGAATTAGGTCAAACTATTAACAGGAAACGTTTGTTTTTATGTCCACATTCTTTCTTATTTTTGTATGTGATTTATTTAGTTACATGCGCTTCAGCACCTTACAAGGTAAAACAGGTGCCAGGTTCATTATTGTAATAATATTTTCATCCTTTTGATTGTACTATACTAAAACTTAAGACCCACAAAACATAGATTCCTTTCAAAATTTCAAACTTTATCTAACTTTACAGACATGACATTCAGTACCATTGTTATGCATAACTTCAAAACAAACACAAAATACCCCATCATCTTATATTCATATTTTTCATATTCAGATCATATTGATGTCAAAAATCATTGGTATAAAGAGCATAATGGTATTGTTTTCACCTGTTTTGCCTTTTTATGGAAAACTATTGATTAAACTATGTACAGCATACTGTAAGCCCAATTTTCCATTATTTTAATGTTAAATTCAAGCTACATTCATTTTGATACAAAGCCCTTCACTGATTTAATAGGACCATTGGAACATCTTCTGTCAGGGCTTGATCTTACGATAGTCTCTTAAATTCATGGTGACGTTGCTGGGAAGTCCGAGCCTCATCAGCTCCTCTTGTAACTGAAAATATATGAGCTTCATGACAATCATGCACTGATATGATATGTCAGTCATATTGTTTAAGGATCAAATTTATTTATTTTAATTTATTTATTATTCAAATGTAAAAGTATTTATTGCACTGTTGCCTAGAGTTCTTTTGAAATGAAATGTTCATATAGAAAATGATATGTAGTATCAATAAACTAAATAAAGCATAAAATACAATGTTTATGTAAAAACATGGTAAATATTCAGTACTGTAGGTAAGTGAGTCATATTGACTTTTACTTACCTGTATAATCACAAGCTCTTCAATCTGAGACTCTGATAAATTGTCTAGACTTGTAACTTCTATTCGCATTCCCATCACTGATAAAAAAACAAACAAACAAAAAAAACAGGTCAGGTGTTAAAATTAATAATTATTACACACACACTGTAAAAGATTTTAGAGGTCAAAACTCAAATTTTTATGTTCGCTTGCTACATTGAAAAAAAATTCATTTCAGTTCAGTTTCAGTCTCAATTAAAGCATGTAAACATAAAACTCCAAAACTCCAAGACCTCCAAATTCTTTTACAGTGCTTTATTGAAAATAGCAGAAACATATAGATCACATTTATACTCAAACATACCATACTCATCTGAATAGGTTGATGTGATGGTCATCAGGTTCAGCGAAAAACAAACAGAAGGCTTGGATTAGCAAAACTTTAGCATAAGTATCATATGTCACACTTATTATGCAGACTTTAGTTTCTTTTTATTTTACAGAATCCACATTTATATCCATATTTTCTTGTTTTTGTGTGTAACAGACTGATGTTTATTATTTTATTTCATTATAGTACTGTAGGTATATTTGCTCACCACTGTAACAGAAGAAAGGCAAACTGGCAAAGCAGCTCTCATCTGTCCACTGGCCAAAGTATTGTAAAGACACAGCTGTGCAGTGTTGAGATCCCTGCTGTCCTGGGACATTTGCACCATTATCTGGTTGTGCAGCAACCGATGAGGTGTGTGGGAGCCAATATGTGAAGGAGGAGCTGCTCTGATCTGACCACAGTCTGTTTCTGTGCAGACCAATCCATACATAATATCCATAATAACGGGTAATGCTCAGTATCTGTTGATGTTCTGTCTC